CCTTGTGAGTGATTTTGTCACTTGACAGCAGTATCAGCCACTCAGTCACCGGCTGTTGGTTGGTCGATGTGGGTATAGCGCTTGACTTGCTCCCACTCGGATCCCGGTTACTTATCAATGTTGCATTATACAAATAGATTTGCTGTAGACAATTTGCTGTATTTCTAGCTAGCAGTTTCACATAGATCAGAATTCTGCCAAGTATAATTAATACAAGTCATTGTGCTGAATTCGTAGCTTATGGGTCCAAGTTGATGGCGAGTTCGGGGCTGCTCAGAGCAGCAATTGGCAGATTGGCAAAGAAATGATTGTTTCGAGTATTTTTGCGTGTTCTAAGAGTAGGTTTACAAGATGATGACAATCTGTCAGCGACACCCTAAGTCTGTTGTTATAGCTCTGATGACGATCCCGTAGAAGGGAACAAGATAGATTGCTGATTACAAGACTGCGAGCAGCGATGGTAGAATAAACGAGGGGGACAGAGCTATTGACGAATGCGTGTCACGTGATAACTCAAGTTGAAAGTCCGCTAGTTCCGGAAATGGTCGGACCGTCCTTTTCATCACACAATCCAGACATTGTCCAGAACGCCTCCACGCCTTGTGACCCGCAGCCAACCACGTCAATCTCTGGGATAAATCCTGCAAGTGTGATTCCTTTATGATAACCTTCTCCAGCTCGTTCCAATCTATAATACCTCCCTCGAAAATGGGCGCCAGTACCTTGGGCTGGATGAAGCCGTGATATTGCAGTAAGCTATATGAATGCGTTCGAAGGAGTGACACGGTGATGTGCTGGAGCAGCTGCTCGACGCAAAAAAACCACAATATTATGCAAGATAGATAGTCAGATTCGAGCGCTGGAAAGCACTGACTGCTCGATCGGATGTGATGAGATACACTCTGGCAGCTGTGGAGACAAGAGTCGGATGTACGGAGACACTGGGAGGGTATACTGTCGCGGGTATGATAATAGGGGGTGCATTCTTGGCGTAACGGTGATGTCGGAGGCGAACAGCCTCGTGTCCTGGGCGCGTCTATTGAAATGACACAGGTTGACGCACCCTCAAGAATTCACTTCGACCGCGCCCGACGCCATCGACCTCCAATAAAATGTCGAAGCTCATTTCAATCACTACACCCCTGCGAGAGTTCAAAAGTCATGAAGGCTTCGTAACGGCAGTCGCAGTTTTTCCTGATAAACGACGGATGGTTACGGCATCATGCGACAAGACGCTTCTCCTGTGGGACTTGAAGACAGGTATTGTGTTGCAGAAGATGGAGGGGCATCTCAATCGGGTGTCGAGATTGGGAGTATCACGAGATGGGCAATTGATAGCAAGCGGTGATGAAGGCGGAGTGGTCATCGTCTGGCACGGAGAAACTGGCGAATCACTCACCGTAATCGAACCCCACTCCAATTATATCACCTCGCTGGATTTTTCACCTGATGGAACAGTGCTGGCCACTAGTGCGTTTGACGATAGAATGTCGACGAAACTGTGGAACACTAAAACCTGGGAGCAACAAGGAAATTCAATCGAGTGTAATGACCGTGTCTTCTGCCTTCGATATTCGCCCTCCGGAGAACTTCTTGCCATCGCAACAGACAAAAATATTCAAATTTATGATCCAGGCACGAGGGAACAAGTCGCATCCTTCAAGGCTCACACAAATTCCAACTTGTCACTCGCATGGACGCCTGATGGTACACGCCTTCTAACAGGTGGTGGTAGTTCTGACCCTACCATACGCGAGTGGGATACAACAACCTGGCAGCAGGTCGGTGATCCTTGGACGGGTCACTCTATACAAATCAATGAAATTGCCATGCATCCTGCTGGCACACTCGTCGCATCCGCATCCCATGACACTCAGAGTCATGTTCGTCTCTGGCGGCTCTCAGACCGACAAACCGTTGCCATATTCAAGCACTCATCTCTGCCGCTTTGCGTCACTTTTTCGATGGACGGCAATCACGTTCTCAGCGGAGGTGAAGATATGACGATCTCGGAGTGGGCAGTATCTCATGGTATTCATCCGAAGGCATGTTTCCGTCTTTGACTTGTACCATACAATTCGAGCATGTTTTGTGCAGATTCTAGCCATCACAAGAGCTCGTGATGCATGCGTAGATGGGTACTTGTTTACTGCCGAAGAACTACTCACGCAAGATATCAACACCGATGACAACAACCATACTTCTTATGCCCATCGCTCATTCGTGATGGCCCGACAAAACGACTGGGATCACGCCATTCAGGATGCTATCAAGGTGAGCGATACGCACTGATCATGGCCCACTTACAAAGGCTAACTCGACGGCGACATAGTCTATCAGTATTCGGCCCTCATTGACAGGCTACATCTCCAAGGGTATTGCCCTCTGCGGAAAAGGCCGTGTCTCGGATGCAAGGGCAGTATTTGATGTTGCATCAATGTATACGGACCAAGATTCACGAATCCTCCATTTCCTACTCTTGATCAAAGTACGTTACATTTGCCTCACATACTTTCCGCTTCATCGTGTATTTCAGGCCATTGCCCTTTTCAATGCAGATCAACATGACGAGGCCAATCTGCTCCTCAAAGAACTCGCTGCTGGTTGTGCCGATGCTCTCGCGCGTGATGTCGTGCAAGTGAGTAGCATCCGCACTTGGTTATCAACACCAATCTTTGCAACCGGCGCATCAGGCATATCTGCGTGTTCAACTCGGAATCAAGGCCTTGGATGGCGCACGTCACGAAGAAGCCGCTGAGCATTTTGTCGCCGTCCTCAACCCCAGCCCTTTCTCATCGAGTTCACCCATTCATTTTATGTACGAGGACTTGGTGATGGTGCGTAAATACACATCCGAAATCCTTTTCATAACTGAGTCCCTTGTCCAGCTCTTCGGCTGGGATCTCAAATCATTGTGGTTCACTGCAAACCAGAAACGTTGTCATACATTCCTCCTGGCAGGTAAACTTCAACATGCCGTCAGATCATACCAATACATGATGGATAATATCGATGAAGCAACGAAGGTCAGCTGTTATGAATGGTCCAACGGCAAGTCTCAAGTTCGCAATATCGCGCAGGCTAGAATCCTCACTCCCATTTCATTCAGCTTTCAAGCAAGAATGCAGCGCGCCTTTTCTTGCCAGCGGGGATGCTGCCCTCGCTGCAAGCGACTATGACAGGGCTATTGACCTTTACTCGGCAGTGATCGAACTGAATTCTGCGTCTGATGCTGCCTTTGCAAATCGTAGTAAGGCAAAGTTAGGCAAAATGCTATGGGAGGATGCGCTTGTCGACGCGCAAAAGGTGCGATGGCATCTATGTCTTCGTAGCCCATATTGACTCCAGCGGTGCATAGGTGACCGAGCTCAATCCTTCATCTCACGTTGGATACCAGTTGACACATGCAGCGCTGCGTGGCGCACAACGTTACGACGAAGCTGTTGAAGCGTTCAAAATCATGTTATCCAAGTTGGACGATTCTCCCGAACTGCAAATGCAAGGTAAGCCTTAGAACACTCCTCCATAATCTCGAAACGCCTATCTTGTTCTGCAGAACTGCGTCGGCAGTATATCTGTCCATCCGAAGCAGAAGACATCATTCAAAGAGCTATTTGGATCGAACTCGAATATGCCCCGCTACGTCTACTTAATACTTCTACGGGTCTTCTGTGCGATCGGGCGGCACAAATAAACGCCTTCAAAATGAGTGCAAAGTACAAGGAGCTTTTGTCATGCGCAACGGAGCATTCAGACCTCCAACTGGACCGCATCAAGGAAGTGGTAGCAATGTACTTCCGCTGCGTCATGCTATCACACAGGTGGGAAGAGAAGGAGGCGGTGCTGCACGACATCCAGGATGAAGATGTGCGCGAGTTGAAGGAAATTGGCGGCATCACGAAATTGCAGTCGTTCTGCAAAGTCGCTCGTGATGCTGGGTATCGTTGGGCGTGGATGGACACATGCTGCATCGACAAGAAGAGCAACACCAAGCTTCAAGAGTCGGTCAACTCTATGTTCGTTTGGTACCGCCATTCTGCGCTCACCATCGTCTATCTATGCGATGTCCTTCCTTCATCCCAGCCCGGTGCACTGGCGAGGAGTGTTTGGAACGAGCGGGGATGGACCTTTCAAGAATTCGTTGCTCCGAAAGTTGTTATCTTTTATCGCAAGGATTGGTCATTATATCTCGATGATCGCTCTCCCAACCACAAAGAGTCCCCTGCAATCATGAAGGAGTTGGAGGATGCGACGGGGATAGATGCGCAGACCCTGGTGACCTTCCGCCCAGGCATGAGCGGGGCTCGAGAGAAACTTCAATGGGCATCGAAGCGCGTCACTACTGTACAGGAAGATGTCGCGTACTCATTATTTGGCATCTTCGGCATCACCCTACCTGTCATCTATGGCGAGAAGAAGCAGAACGCGCTCGGGCGACTCCTGCAGGAGATCGTGGCTCGGTCGGGCGATATCACTGTCCTCGACTGGATCGGAGAAGCTTCCGAGTTCAACAGCTGTCTTCCAGCCCATATCACCTCCTACGCCGCTCCTCCTCGCACCCTTTCACCTTTGTCTGAAGATCATATTCACACGCAAGTCCTTTCGCTGCGACAAACCGTGACCGCAGATCTAGCATTGAAATTTTATAATCAGCTTGAAAAGCTTAGAGCTCCTCGCTTTGCAAACTGCAGACTTCATCTTCCTTGCATTTCATTCCGTGTCACGGAAGTCAGACGGAGGCGCGGTCTGGACCAGGAGATTCTCATGACGTATCGAATCAAGGCAGAAGGGCTTCACGACCTGCTGGTCACCACTGAAGAGGCCCTAGTTCAGTTCTCGCGGGCAAAGCCCATTCGGCGCACGTTCTTGCTTGTCCGTCCATGGGATCGGCATCTCCTCGGGGTACCTGACTTTACAGAGCAGTCTGACTTCGCAGATGATACAGAGAGTATAGGAGATTGTACCGAACACGGGTCTCCGATGGACTATGACGAGTTACCCGGTGATTCGCCTGTTGAAGAGGAGCCTGGCTCACGAGCGTTGCAGCTAATGGTTCGCCTCGGACGGCCTTTCGACGCATTTTTGCTAGCGCAACAGCGTGTTGGAGAATACAAGAGGATCGCGTCGGACTATAACATCATTGCACAAGTCAAAGACATTGCATCGGTTGATAGCATGGACGTTGGTGCCGTAGAAATACTCTAGCTAATAGCTATCTACAGGCATCGGGTACTATCACGTCACTGCGCATTCATAATTCTCTCTACAGTTCTTTCCTTTCTACCATGGCGACTTCTGCTTCGTTCCCTGGCGTTATTGGTCTTCAGAATGGAAGCAGATATCAAAATGATAAGAAATCTCATTTTCACGCCTGTTACATTCATTGAGCAATTCCAGAGTCTTCCGTCATCAGCCCCGGATCTGCAAGAAATTCGTTATCCGCGTTGCGAGAGTCACCAACGAGTGGAAACACCCATGCAAAGACTGTTGAAGTTTGTTTGCTAAGGCTACTATCCGCTCTCCGGTTGAGTGTGCACTTGAGGAAAGCTGCTTCGGATGATTGGTGAAGCAATGTGAAATTTGACCCAGGGGAATTACACAAACTCCCTTGAAAATGACCGGGTTGAATTTTTGAAAGCGGCATCCTCAGGGCATGGTTCTGGCCATGCAGGCACCCCGGGCCTGATCGGACCCCAATAGCCCGTAATGTTCACTTAAATCTATCCCAACGCTCCTAGTCCAACGAACAGTGTTTATAGTTTATTCCTAGAATGTTTAGCGAGGTTTTTAGGATATTCCCAGTGACTCGCCGAGCCATAGCCATTACGATCGCTGTTGAACCAATTCCGCTGCCGCTTGAGCAATGGGAAGATCTAGTACACTCACTATGATATTGACTAGGAAACGTGACATCTTATGTGTGCGGCCTGAAATGTGAGTCTTCGGCTCGGTCCAGGCGGAAAACTGATCCCATCGTCCACATATGCAGTACCGAATGCCGTGTCTGCTGTAAGCAGCAAAAAGGGGCCTTCGCGATTCTCATAGATGATGTACCTGGCTCTTGATGCAGTGATAGAGCGGAGTTGTCCCGGATGTGGACGTTGATGTGACTGATGGGAGTAATGCCTGTGTGGTACTTTCCATCAAAGGGTAGCATGCATATGGACGCCGTGGCCGGGGAGTTCAAAAGTGATCCTCTTCATTGAGCAAGTATTGGATAGGGTACAAGGGATGGTTGATGAGAAAGAGCAATTTCAACAAGGTATATAGGGCCATCTGCACGGTATGTCTCGATATCATCATAGGTGTTCAAAACTGTAAAGGGAGGGCTCTGTGATGTGGGCCATGGCTGTAACTATGACCAATGCAGGGATCTTTGACCAAGCACGTGCGAAGAATGAGAATGAGTATCAATTGCCGAAAGATGCCTCATTATCTCTGCGCAGTAGTTGCTGGGTCACTGGCCTACTAATGGTGTAGGCGAATTATTGCATATGAGGGAGTGAGTGAGAGAAAACGACATGAGATATCGAGTCTCGACCGAGTACCTGTATATCGACGAGAATGAGCATCAGTTTCTCACTTTTTTTTAAAAAAAAAATATCACATTTTATTGTCCTTTAGGGTCGAAGACCCTATGTCGGACATAGCCAAGTTTCTCAACTTTGTCACCACGCTCGCAGGGTCAGTGCAGGATCAAATGATGAAGCGACGAGTGAGAAACTGGGATGAGAGACTGGTGATTTGAGCGTGGTTACAAAGACGATCGTCGATGTCGTTATGATTCGATGTTCATAACCAAATGAAGCTACCCAAATCTGCCATATTCGAGTCAAAAGCCTGATGCATATGGCAGAGATTTAAGCCATCATTTGACAGCAATCACGATTTAACGATTCAGCCAAATTGATCAGGCTCATTCCCACAAGTGTATGCAGGATACAAAAGCCGGCCGTCGTCCTGCAGTGTTCCCTCATCCGAGATTCCCCTCAGAAGATTCCATATCACCTCGCACAGACAATGCGCTTCTCCCTCCTCGCCATTGTGGTTGCTTTGACAGCATCTATGTTTGTCAGTGCATGTACGGACCCGGATCAACTTTGCAACAATGATCTCGAATGCTGCAATGGCCTTATTTGTTACAAAGGTGGTGTGAGTATCAGCAGCTCGCTGTGCAACCAGAATTCAACTACATAACTCATCTGCGCGCCTTAGCCCAATGGAAACAAGATCTGTCAATAGTAGTCGATTGAAAATCGAGCTGGCTGGCAGCCCGAGGGGAACGTCGCGACTTTGTGAGTCCTGTTTTTGCCTTCGTGATATCATGGTTGACGTTGAAGGTGTCACGTGTAACACAGGAACTACTCCCCTCGAATACAATAGACGATGGATAATCGATCATTAATGTACAATGTACATAGAACGGCGAAAAGTTTCACACGCGGATGACACTTAGGAAGTGCCGGCTGCGTCGGCAGAAACCTTGCTTAACCAACTAACATGACTGGTAAAGATAAAGTAAAATAAATTTGAGTTTATTTGCTGCTTGGAGGGCAGCTTCGACATGGCAAGGGTTCTCACGCAAACGGTCGACCGTTTGGACCGTTTGAAAAGCACGTGAGGTTGGAGGTCACGTGACGCCGGAATTTGCCGCACTTACAGAGTCAGAACATGGCGCAGGGGGCGACATCTAACACGCTCAAAGCTCAAAGCAGCGTGCGTTGCCCCCGTGTCTGTTCCCATTCCGAACAGGAATCATTGATCTTGTTCTCTACGATCTTGTCTTCGGCAGAATAATATCATTGATCCTGTTCTCCTACGATCTTGTCTTCGGCGGAGTTCTCAATATCTTAAGTTGTGAGTGGGCCTGCTGCACGAATAAGGAACACGGTGAGTCGACGAACAAACGAGACCACAATGGCATTGTGTGGGGACAAATGGAACGGACAGAACGAACAGACACCAAACGGAACGAACAGATCAGAACGAACAGATCAGAATGAACGGACGAAACGGACAAACAGATCGAACAGATTGAATGAATGGGACAAATGAAAGCGGGTAATTAAACGGGGGGATATTTGGAATTCGTTAGTGCGAGAATTGGGAGCTGGGAGGGGAGCCAGTCAAAATAGGGTAACTGGTGAGAGACAAGAGATCTGTGCGCGACTCACTAAAAAAAAAACTTTACTGCTGCAGGTAGTTAATCCTCAGCCATTCCTCACCGTTGCGAGAGACAATCCGGTCGTGGGGAGTGGTTGGGTCAGTGACGAAACCCTTGAACAGTCGAAAAAGCACCATGTTATCCGACTCGTGAACCTTGGTGCGCGAAATCAGCAGCTTCGAAAATGCTTCAGTCTCGAGCAGGTCCATCTCTCCTGGTCCCTGCATGAAGACGTGCTCGTAGACGCGCTGGACTGTTGACAGGAACACGTGAGGGTGGAATGTTCGGCCCTCAGAGAAGATTCCTCGTGGCTGAGGCCAGGGAGGCAGTTCCTCGCCGGCAGCCTTGGAGGACTGCTTGACACCATCTGCACAATACCCCTTCTTGTGGTTGAGGGGCGAGTTCTTGGGTCCTGGATACATAATTGTTTGACAGCGGGAGCATGTCTGTGCCTTTTGAGCCTTGGAAATAAAATGATGGTTGATGGGTCAGCGCGAACAATGTGCAAACGACTAGACACAAGTGACTGACCTTTCTGCCTGGTTCTTCCTTCACAAGTGGGACGACGGAACAATGACGGTGCCAAAATGACTCGCTGTTTTTGCGTGCTGTTTACCCAATGTCAGAAAAGTAGTTGAGAGATGGTGTTTGCAAACGGACTCACAGGTATAGTCATTCTTGGTGATTTTGCTCATCAGCTTCGGCTCGATGTCACCCAGCGCACGTAGGAGGGCTTGTGGGTTCTTCTGGACGACTGACTGGCCCTTTTTCTTGATGAGACGGCGGTTGTACTCTTCTGTCGCCAGCACCCAGCGCTTCGAAGTCATTTGATATGACAGCCATTTGAACTCAGCCCACATTTCCATAAATAAGTAGAACTCGTCCGAATTTTGGAAGGTGAGCAAGCGAGGATCAATACCCATGGAAATGGAGAACAGGCACTGAGACTGGGTCTGGCCTGCCGTGATAGCCATCGAGTTATTGATGCCAGTGCTGCCAAGCACTGGGCAATCCTGTGAAGAATTTGGGAGGAAGTTTTCGCGTGTAGCGTTGGTCGGGTGTGATTGCACATACCTTTGCAGTAGCCCCAGGAATCACTGGGCGATCGCTGGTGACTCCAGCACTGGGGGTAATTGTGTTGCTGATGCCAGCGCTGGGGCAATCCTGTGAGAATTAGGGAGGAAGTTTGCGTGTGTAACGTTGGTCGGGTGTGATGGGACATACCTCTGTGGTAGCCCCAGGAATCACCTGGCAATCCTGTGAGAATTCAGGAGGAAGTTTGTGTGTGTAGCATTGGTCGGGTGTGATGGGACATACCTCTTGGTCGGGTGTGATAGCAGTGCTGGTAACCACTGGGCGATCCTGCGAGAATTCGGGAGGAAGCTTTTGTGTGCTGCACCATTGATGGTCTTGCACAGAAGGAAAGTACGCATCGAGTCGTCCAGTACCTGGGGCCATGCTAGGAACTTCTGTGCTGGGCAATGCTAAGGTTCGTAGTTTTTTGATGGTGCCTGCCGCTGGCATCCCCTTCATCGTCCGAGTCCAACGAGATGCAGACAGCCTTTCTCTTTGGCGCTGGAGGTTTCTGCACGAAAAAAATGAGATATGGGGGGGTTGAATGGAAGTGTTGTTACTTACCATTGGTCTTGAAGTTTCAGCTGGGAGCGTAAGAAGGGCGGGGTCAATTTGCCACTCGTTGATGATGACATTCCGACTGGCAAGAAACGCAAGGTCAACTTCCTCACCTGTGGTGGGGTCAACAGACGAATCAAAGGAGTCAAGTAGGCCCTTCTCAACGTTCTCCTCCTTGATCAAAAGACCACCGAATGTCGCTACATGATCTGACATAACTAACCCAAAAGTCTCACCTGAGTCGATGTCACCAAGCTCAGGAAGAAGCTGCAGCTGAGAGTCAGTAGTTTTTTGCTGGAGCGTGTTGTGAAGCCTCACTATGTAGTCACAGAGTCGGAGGTGATGTGAACCGTTGGTGAACTTGAGGAATGGCATGAGTTCGGGCCTGCTGAAAGCCACTCGCACGTTGCGACGGAGGACAAAATCATGGCCGAGGGCAGTGAGCATCGTCACACCGCTTGGCTGTGCTCGCTGAAGGGAATTCCACCCTTTGTGGGATCCCTCAATGCGACTCCCATCAGCTCTGATGCCTTGGACACTGCGCTCAAGGCACCCTTTGTGGACATGTTTCAACTGTTCTTGGTGAACCTGAGTCATTATTGTCAGTAGCGATCGATTACAGTGGTACTTAGCGAAAAATG